TCAAGGAGCTCACAGTCTGCAGGCAGCAGGGAAAGAGGGAGATGCTAGAGGGGAGGGAAGGATGGGGGCCGAGGGAAGAGAAAGACAGGTGTGTTTCATTGCTATCTGATATATACCAGCACTGAGAGTGTGTGGTGGGAGAACGGGTTTGATGATAGCCAGCGTGACCAACTGTCCCTGTTTGCCCAGGACTGAGAGGTTTCCCAGGATGCAAGCACTTTAGCGTTGACACTGGGAAAATTCCACGCCAGCTGGGATGAGTTGGTCACCCTAAGCCTGTGTTCAAATCCTGGCTTTGCCACGTGCCTGGTGAAACCACCAGTTACCTAATTAACACCCAATCACCCACCTTTTAGAAATGACTTGATTGCCGTCTGAAGGCCTTCCCTGAGCAATTCCACTTTCTCCCTCCTCCCGCTTTTAAAAGTGTATCTCAGTTCAAAAAACTTTTTTTTTTTTAATTGGGACAGCGTGTCGCTCTGTCACTCAGGCTGGAGTGCAGTGGCATGATCACAGCTTTCTGCAGCCTCAACTTCTTGGACTTAAGAGATCCTCTTGCCTCAGCCTCTCGAGTAGCTGGGACTACAGGTACGTGCCATCAAGCCCAGGTAATTTTTGTATTTTTTGTAGAGATGGGGTTTCACCATGTTGCCAGGCTGCTCTTGAACTCCTGGGCTCAAGACATTCTCCTGCCTTGGCCTCCCAAAGTGCTGGGATTACAAGTGTGAGCCACCGTGCTTGGCCTCAAAATCCATTTATTGAGAAAATATGTTGTACCATGGGCTTTCCTAGACTCCATGTTCTTCCCCCTTTTATCAGCAGAGACAATGACTGGGAGAAAGGTTAGATGGACAGAGGAAGAATCCATGACACCAACTGCAGCAGTGGGGCAGTGGGGCAGTGGCGGGGGGGTTGCGGGGTGGGGTTCTTCCCACTAACCTCCCCTTCCAAGTATCTCCTCAGGAAGAGAGGCCTCGGGCATTTTGGAGGAGCTACCCCCCCGACCATATAGGAGAACTAGATCTTGGTGTAAGGAATGGACCATGGCAGCCATGGAGGGGCTCCCCCAGCTCTCCATTCAACAACAGATTTGCCTCTCAGCAGCAGGTGGGGCAGTTAGCAGATGGCTCTCCGACTTCAGGATCCACCCCAGCTTCTGAGCTGAAGCCCTGCTCTTCTGGGGCAGCTCCTAGCCAATAACTCAGGGTGAAAAGGGCGTCATAGGGACAGGCCACTTGTGCCTGACACAAAAGCTCCCTCATGGGCAGTCTCAGCCCCAGAGCTCCCATATTGCTGTGCCCAACACTTTGTTCGATCAGCACTGAAGCTGGCAGCTCTCCTTGCCTGATTCTGTTTCTAGCCCTCTTATCTTTCCCGGGACTTCACCCCCAATAAAGCACTTACATTTCCAACCCCATCTCAGTGTCTGCTTCCCTGAGGACGCAACTGACAAAAACTACCTGTAAAACAAACCACAATCTATTCACGTCTCTCCGCCACCACCAACTCCAAGTCCTCATTCCTTGGAGAAGCACCTGGATGGCGCATACCCCTCAGTTGAGCCCCCCACCCTGCTTCCTCTTGTTTTTGTTTGTTTGTTTTTGTTGTTTTTCTTTTTGAGACAGGGTCTCACTCTGTTGCCCAGACTGGAGTGCAGAGGCGCCATCTCGGCACACGCCACCACGCCCAGCTAATTTTTGTATTTTGAGTAGAGACAGGGTTTCACCATGTTGGCCAGGCTGGTCTTGAACACCTGACCTCAAATGATCCACCTACCTTGGCCTCCCAAAGTGCTGGGATTATAGCCAGGAGCCAGAGCACCCTGCCCTCTTTTATCGCTTTGTAACCCAGTCTCCAGACAACTGCCAGAGTGGTCTTTTAAAAACACAAACTGGGCCAGGTGTGGTGACTCACACCTGTAATCCTAGTACTTTGGGAGGCCGAGGTGGGTGGATCATGAGGTCAGGAGTTCAAGACCAGCCTGGCCAACGTGGTGAAACCCCGTCTCTACTAAAAATACAAAAATGAGCCAGGCGCAGTGGTAGGCGCCTGTAATCCCAGCTACTCAGGAGGCTAAAGCAGGAGAATTGCTTGAGCCTGGGAGGCAGAAGTTACAGTGAGCTGAGATTGCACCATTGTACCCCAGCCTGGGTGACAGAGTGAGATCCTGTCTCAAAAAAAAAAAAAAAAAAAAAATACAAAACCCAGGTGAGACCACTTTCCTGCTTAAATCCTCCAGTTGGGCTTTGAATCAGACCCACTCCCTTACTGGAGCATGTAAATCTCTACATGGCCCCACCTACCTGTCCAGCTTTCTCCCTCCCCTACATCTCACTCTGCTCCAGCCCCACTCTGTTCCTTCTGTTCCTGAAACATACCATGCTCCTTTCTGCCCCAGGGCCTTTGCACTAGCTGTTCCCTCTGCCCAGAACATACCATATTTCCCCAGACTTCTGCATGGCTGGTTTCCCAGGTCATTTAGGTCTGAGCTCCAACGCAGGCCTTTTCTGACCCCCTTATGAATAATGCCCACCTCCCAATTCCCCCCTTCCTACTTCCTGTAACTTTCTATAACATCACTTTAAAACTTTTCTTTGTCATTCTCATCATTATTGGAAATTAACTTGTTTACTTAGTTATTCATTCGTTTACCACCAGCCTCCCCACTGGAATATAAACTGTGTGAGCCTGTCTTGTTCCCAGCTCTCCCCAGTGCTTGGCACTATGCCTGGCACAATGTAGGTCTCAAAACATATTTTCTAAAATGAATTCCTATATTTGTTATATGTGGCAGAATTCCCTTACCCTAAGAATGGAATGAAAGTGAAGAAGAAGAAAAAAAGAAACTAGGAGTCATGACAATTCAAAGGGAAAATATAGGAACTATTCCAGTTTTAGGGAAGTTTCCCCTAGAATACTTCCCTGGCCATCCCTTGAGGAATCCTGTGTTAGGATTAAGGGGGATCCCTCCCAGAACCCCACTCCGTCTTTGGGCTTTGGGACCTGTCTTCTAATCCTTCCTCTGCCTCCAGCAGCAGCATTAGGAAACTACTTCAGCAAACATTCACCGAGAAGCTGTCCTGGGCAGGCTTCATGCTGAATGCTGGGGTAGAGATGGGTTAAGGAAGAAGGGAGAAGCTGGGCGTGGTGGCTCATACCTATAATCCCAGCACTTTGGGAGGTCGAGGCAGGCAGATCACCTGAGGCCAGGAGTTAGAGATCAGCCTGGCCAACATGATGAAACCCTGGCTCTACTAAAAATGCAAAAATTAGCTGGGCATGGTGGCAGGCATCTGTGGTCCCAGCTACTCAGGAGGCTGAGACAGGAGAATTGCTTGAACCCAGGAGGTGGAAATTCCAGGAAGCTGAGATCATGCCACAGCACTGCAGCCTGGGTGACAGAGTGAGACTCTATCTCAAAAGAAAGAAAGAAAGAAAGTCATTCTAGGGGATAAACAGACTGGTTTAAACAGGATTTGACTCCAGCCTTCGGACTCATTTGTCCAAACTGTCCCCAAACTCTCCTAGGGCAGCGCAGGTAAAGGTGGCACCATTTGGTGCCCAAGTCACAGTGGCTCTGCTGTTATTGGCAGTAGCCCTCTCTCTTGGCATCTTCTGTCCTTCCCTGAACTTCCTATGACAGTTTCTCCTGGGGATGCTATCTGTGTGTTTGTCTTCACAGAACACATGCAGATGTACCAGGAGTCCCCATGCCTCATGCACCCCCAGGACTGTAGCAGGACCGACTGCTAGCCTTCGCCTTCCGAGAGCCCAGCCCATCTCTCTGTCCATGAGATGCTTCCTCCAAGCCCGACCGCCTGCACTGGGTTTAGAGGTCACCGTTTCAGTGAGCGCTAACGCACATCCACACACACACAGCACTCAGGTTCCTGGCTTACAGCGCTGGTGTTTGCTTCTCTTCTCTTTCACAACTCAGGTGTGGATGAAAATCTCTGGCTCCTACAGATGGGTGAACAGGGTGGACATCCTAATGTGTGTGGAGGGAGGCAGGTGGAGCACATGCCTGGGGACACTGGACAAAATCCCAGTGCTGGACAGTGTCCCCCAGGGCTGTTGCCTCTTGGGAAACGTTCCTATCTCTCCAGACCACCAGCACTATGTGAAGACCACTTGAAGCCACAATGGTAGCCATGGTGGTCCAGAAATCCTGGTTTGAGCCTTCCCTTCAAGTCAAAAATGCAGGCTTGGAAGGGAGACATGGGCTGGGAATGGCCACAGCACTCCCAGCCCTGGGAATCCATATTGGTCAGGAAAAGCTTCATGGAAAACTGGAGATAAATTGTGGAGGATAGTAGGACTGTTTTTAAGTTCTTAATTGCAAAGTTAATTTTCAACAAAATATATATAGATGTTTTTGACAGGAGAAAGTAAAAAGCTCCTCCACCACCTCCACAGCACAGCCCACTCCCATTCCTGCTGTTCCTTCTGGGCCTGGTCCACATGCCCATCAGGCACGTGGCACCACTTGCCAACTAAGGCAGACTGCAGTGGGGGTGGGGGGTTCCTATCTGGACCTGTGATGCTCTAAGCCTCCAAGGAGTCAGAGGAGAGAATTTCCATCCTCTGAGATCACAGAAGGGTTTTGTATTGCGGTGGTGGGGAGTGAACTCTGCTCTTTCAAAAGGTTGGAGGTGGGGGTGACGGGCAGGTGGTCACAGTATAAAGAGAAGTTAGGTCAAAATCCGCGCCCCCCGCCCAGCTCCCAACACTGGCCTCTTCCCCTCCTCTAACCGCTCCCACCCAGTCCCATCCACAGTCTGGTCCAGTGAGACGTGCCTGAGCCCACAGGCTGCTCCAACGCAGCCAATGGTGACCTTGAACAGCAACCTGACCTCCGGGGCCTCAGTTTCCTCATTTCTATTGTGAGCCTGTCCAGGGCGAGGCTCAATTGCGACCGAGCATGTGGCGCGCCTAGCGCAGAGCCCCACCCGAAGGGAAGCTCCCTCCGGGATGGCTATGAGCATAACCCGCTTGGGTAGGGGGCCGGAGCACGGGAGGGCTGGCATGGGGGTTAACCAGGAGCCCCGCCGCGCAGCCCTCGGGTGGCCGCCCCCTGCGCCGTGACGGCGGCGAGATAAGGTGCCGGGCGCTGCCCTCGCTCCCCGCCGTTATCTCCCGCGGCGCCCCCAGCCCGGCGCCCGGCACTGAACGGGTGCGGGGCTGGGCCAGGGCCGGCCCGGGGAAGCGAGTGGGGCGGGGCTGCCGCGCCCGCTCCCCCTCCCCGCCGCCAGCCGCCTTCTCCTCCTCCCGCCGCCCGGGCTCAGAGCGGCGGCAGCAGCGGCCGCGGCGACAGCTCCAGCTCCGACTCCGACTCCGGCTCCGGCTCCCGCGCCTGCCCTGCTCGGCCCCGCGCGCCCGGGCTCCGCGCCCCGACCCCGCCGCCGCGCCTGCCGGGGGCCTCGGGCGCCCCCGCCGCCCGCCTCACGCTGAAGTTCCTGGCCGTGCTGCTGGCCGCGGGCATGCTGGCGTTCCTCGGTGCCGTCATCTGCATCATCGCCAGCGTGCCCCTGGCGGCCAGCCCGGCGCGGGCGCTGCCCGGCAGCACCGACAACGCCTCGGTAACCTCGGGCGCCGCCGCGTCCCCAGGTCCGCAGCGCAGCCTGAGCGCGCTGCACGGCGCAGGTGGCTCGGCCGGGCCCCCCGCGCTGCCCGGGGCACCCGCGGCCAGCGCGCACCCGCTGCCGCCCGGGCCCCTGTTCAGCCGCTTCCTGTGCACGCCGCTGGCGGCCGCCTGCCCGTCGGGGGCCCAGCAGGGGGACGCGGCGGGTGCGGCGCCGGGAGAGCGTGAGGAGCTGCTGCTGCTGCAGAGTACGGCAGAGCAGCTGCGCCAGACGGCGCTGCAGCAGGAGGCGCGCATCCGCGCCGACCAGGACACCATCCGCGAGCTCACTGGCAAGCTGGGCCGCTGCGAGAGCGGCCTGCCGCGCGGCCTCCAGGGCGCGGGGCCCCGCCGCGACACCATGGCCGACGGGTCCTGGGACTCACCCGCGCTCATCCTGGAGCTGGAGGACGCCGTGCGCGCCCTGCGGGATCGCATCGACCGCCTGGAGGTGAGCGCCGCGCGCCGTCGGGGGAGCCGCCGGGGTGGTGGGAGGGACCGCCCGGCCGCCGCCGCCTCAAGGTCCCCGAGTCTCCGGTCTCCAGGGACGATCGCGCCCTCCTCGCTGGCGTGATGGAGGGATTCCGATAGGGAACGCGGGCAGGCGTCTGGCACGGTGACTGAGGCACAGGGGGCGCGCCAGAAAGGTTCGCTCCTCACCCTTTTCCCTCTCCAGGCACCTCTCTGAGCCTCAGTTTCTACGTCTGTAAAATAGGTATAACCGTGTCCACTTGTAGTGTAAATTGAATGACATATAGGTGTGTGAAAATGCTTGGCACGTACTAGGACCTCATTAAGATGTCCATTTCTTTCCTTCTTCCGGACACCCCCAAATCAGCACCAGCTCCATCCTCACACTCTATGGCTAGGAGATGGATGCACTGTACCAGGGCCTCGGGGTACTCCCCTCTTTACACAGAGCCAGGAACAGAGTGCTCCATAAGACAAACCTGGGTGTCCATCACCGCCTCCCTACCCTGAATCTCCCACCCTGGTTCAGGTTGTGACCCAACTGCAGGAACTCAGGTGCCAGGCACCCAGCCTCACACACCTGGAAGCTCACAGCTCTTGGGTGGGAACTGAATGGAGAACAGGGCCCCACCGAGCTTCCCCTCCTGCACTCACCTTTTCCAGGCGTTCCTGGACCAGGCTTGGGGTCAGACAAAAGGGGTCGAGCATGGGAGAGCTCGCTCTTTGCTGTCACATGACCCTGGGCCAGTCATTTCCTCGCTGGAGTCCCATGGCCACCTTCCTCCCTGTAATAATGAATTTGGGGTTCCCAGAAGTGCAAGGCAGGCAGACTGGGCAGGACAAACATCCGGGACACATTCACCACCCCAGCTATGAACTGACTTCCAGACCACAAGGAAGTGAGGTAAGCAACAAAATCAGATCTGTGGAAGGAAGAGGGAGAAAGAAGCCAAGGCACGCGCTGTCCCTCTGCTGCCTCCCCACAGGCAGAGTGCAGCAGGCAAGTTGGAGGGAGGAGACAGGCCGGGAGTAAACATAGGGACCCCTTAAACAGGGGCTGTTTAACTTAAATCCTGGGCAGGCAGTACTGGTGATGCCCATGCAGAAGGCTGAGGATGTCGTGGTCCAGCAGCCCTCCAGGACGTCTGTACTGGTGTCAGTACCCTCCCCACAGGGTGTCAGAGTGCAGCCAGGTGGCCATGGTAGCCAGCCCCTCACCTTATAGATGAGAAAACTCAGCCCAGAAATCTCTTAGGAGGGGTGGCAGAGGCAGGGAAAAAGCTGGGCCCGTCCCACCTCTTCCCCTACTCCAGCTATGGGGGATTTCTAGGACAAGAAAACCAAGACCAGGAAAATAATAAGGAAAAACCTGAAAGTATGCAATGAAGGGAAGTCTTAGTCTTCTCACCTGTAAAATGGGGATAATGATAGCAGCTACCTCATTGAGATGTTAGGAGGATTAAGTAGTTTATATGAAAGGCCAAGAAGAGTCCCTGGCACACAGGTATGTTCAATCAATTTCAGTGATCACTATTTTTAGCATTAAGCTATAATATTACTCACTTTTAAAATACAGCCAAGGGCTAGGCATAATGGCTCACACCTGTAATCCCAGCACTTCAGGAGGCAGAGGCGGGTGGATCACCTGAGGTCAAGAGTTCGAGACCAGCCTGGCCAACATGGTAAAACCCCATCTCTAATAAAAAATACAAAAATTAGCCAGGCATAGGGGCGAGTGCCTGTAATCCCAGCTACTCGGGAGCCTGAGGCTGAGTATTGCTTGACAAGGAAGCAGAGATTGCAGTGAGCTAAGATCATGCCATTGCACCCTAGCCTGGGTGACAGAGCAAGACTCCCTCTCAAAAATAAAATAAAATACAGCCAAAACTCAAAATACGAACAAACAGGTTTTAGGCAACAGGTTTTAGTCATGTAAAAAAAATTTTTGACTTTCATTAAATACACTTCCTCATGCCTGCCATAGCCCCTGCCACCATGCCCAGATGGCACAGGTGGCTCCTCCCACATTTGAGGCTGGCAGGCTTGGACCTGCCCTGGACCTGTGCCCTCAGCACCTGCAGCACTTTGGCAGGATAGCCTCCCTTCCGGTTGGCCCACAGAGGTTGGGGGGATCCTGGCAGCTGGGATCTGGCAAGAGGTCAGCCTTCCAGGCTGGGGGAGCCCTGGCTGCTCCATGTACACCTTCTCCTCTTTTCTGAGTGCAGCCGCCATGGACAGAGAAAGGCAGGGGCCTGCTTGGCCACCAGGCCTGCCTTCTGAGCATGACAACGGCCACAGCTAGTCTTTCGGCGGGGGAGTTCTGGGAGGGGCTGGGGCTGAAGCCCAGGAGACACAGGGTGAGACCGTTTGTCTCAGCAAGTCCCATGCACCTGTTAGCCACTGTCCATTCTCTCCCCTCTTCTCATCCAGTATCCTCAAAGTGCCCAGATTTTCAGAGTCTCCTTTTTTTTTTTTCTTTTTTTGAGATGGAGTCTTGCACTGTCGATCTCGGCTCACTGCAATCTCTGCCTCCTGGGTTCAAGCGATTCTCCTGCCTCAGACTCCCAACTAGCTGGGATTACAGATGCCCACCACCATGCCCAGCTAATTTTTTGTATTTTTAGTAGAGACAGAGTTTCACTATGTTGGCCAGGCTGGTCTCGAACTCTTGACCTCATGATCCACCTGCCTCAGCCTCCCAAAGTGTTGGGATTACAGACATGAGCCACCATCTCCCAGGATACACTGAAAGTGCTCTTGCTAATGTCCCAAGTTGATAAATGAGGACTTCTCAGTCCTTATCTTGGTGGAACCTCTCTGACATCTGAGCCTGCTGATCATCCCCTCCTGCAGGTCCCATGCCCTGGGCTTCCAGCCACCTCTCTCAGCAATCCTCCTCCCTGTCTGCTGCCTCTGACTCTTTGCAGGGTCCTCCTCCTTTAAGTGGTGTGCCCTCTTGGCCCTCACTTTCCCTGGGTGCACTCAGCCATGCCCAGAGGCTTCCCACACCTATTCCACGGAGGGAGGGGCCTCAAACCAAAGCTGTGTTCAGCCTAGGTTTCCTCCCAAGCTCCAGACCAAGACACAGGGGCCTCCTGAGCACCACCCTCTGGCTATCCCATCAGCCCCCAACCCCACTGTGTTTCAGCTTGAACCGGGTACCTCCCCGTGCTGAGAAACCATCCTGGGCCCCTCCGTCTTCCCCCGGTTCTGATTGGCCTCATCTCTGTGCATGCTTGCAGCAGCCTCATCTCTGGTCTCATGACTCCAGGCACACATCTCCCTCCACCCTCCTCCAGGCAGCCCCAGGGGTCTTCCTTAAGCCCACCATGGGGCTCTCCTGGAGTGCAAACTCCTCGACCTGCTCCTAAGTTACCACTTTGGATCTGGCCCCTCTCTCCTGACCCCTCTTGCAGTTCATTCCTGCTTCTGCCTGGATCATCCCCAGCACATCCCTGCTCCTCATCTTAGAGTCTGCTCTGAGGACACCTCCTCCCAGAAGCCATCCCTGTTCACACTCTGTCCCCTTCCTATCCCCACCTGGGCTTCCATAATCATCACACTTCCTTGCTGGTCCCCGCCTGGCACATCCCTGCATTACCAACCCTCCTACAAAAGGGAAGGGAAGGTCTGCTTGGCTTGTTCTCTCCCCAAAGCCTCAAGGTGGGAGCCACATTTGACGGCTTAGGGGAAAGCCTCTTCTGTTTTTATTTGTGTTGTTATTGTTGTTCATTGAAACCCATCAAAGGTTATGGGGGAAATACTGCATTTGACTGCGTCATTCTCTCCCTTTCTGCAGCCCCCTTTCCATCCTTATCCATATGCAGCCATTGTTTGAGAGCTGCTGTGTAATTACCATTTTAATGATGCTGTAATATGCTCGGATTCATCTGCAGCTCCAAATCCATCAGTCATTTGACAGGCTCCTGTTACTGGAGATGTAGGTTGTTTCCAATTATTTTTCTTCCAGACATTCATTGCAGGATCCATTGCATGCAGAGAACTGTTTGTTTGTTTGTTTTTAAGTCTGTCGATTTCTTTACGCTGAATTCCCAGGAGTGGTATTACTGGGTCAGAGGATATTGACTTTTTTTTTTTTTTTTTTTGAGGCAGTCTAGCTGTTGCTCAGGCTGGAGTGCAGTGGTGCAAACTCGGCTCATTGCAACCTTCACCTCCCAGGTGCAAGGGATTCTCCTGCCTCAGCCTCCTGAGTAGCTGGGACTACAGGCATGTGCCACCACACCCAGCTAATTTTTGTATTTTTAGTAGAGATGGGGTTTCATGTTGATCAGACTTGTCTCAAACTCCTGACCTCAGGTGATCCGCCCGCCTCAGCCTCCCAAGGTGCTGGGATTGCAAGCGTGAGCCACTGCACCTGGCCAATATTGACTTTTTATGGCTGAGGCCAGGAACCACTTTCCAAGAGTTGGCCCACTGATTCAGCTACAGGCCTGCATGCATGTTCTGGTGTTCCATTTTTGTGCTAATTTAATGTATGTAAACAATGGAACTTCAAGATTAATTTCAACAGCATTTCCTTGGCATAAACCACATCCTTATCCCAGCCTGGCAAGCTGGTTGCCTCCTCCCATCCTGAAGTAGGAGCCAGATAACCATTATAGCACACACTTACTGAGCACTTACTATGCGGCAGGCACTGTGTGTTATCTCATTTAATCCTCGTGAAATCTCTATGAGGGAGGTACAAAGAAACCAAAGTTCAGAGAGGTTAAGGCAATGGCCCCAAGTCAGCAGTGGAGCCCAGTGTCTGCTTCTAGAGCCCTTGTTCTTCATCATCAACTCTAGACCCTTCTGCAGGGGTCAGACCTCACTCACCTTTAGGAGAGTGAGAAAGACAGGTTAGGGCGATCCCTGTGCTAGTCACTGTCCTGGACCATTTCTGCCTCAGAGCCCCAGATTGAGAGGGATGGAGGCCAGTCCTCAAGGCTTGTCCTGCTGACCGGCTAGTCAGGAGACCTG